TCTGAATTTGGGTAGAGATTTGTAAAGCTAGCTTAAACCCCCCTCTAGCCCTTCTGTCTCATGCTTGCCAGCCACCTCATACTGCTGACAACAGTTTGGCTCAGAACATCAAGTGACCATGTATCCTGTTATGTTCTGAGGTTCTTGGAAATTCCCCAACCACCGCCTTCACTCAGGACCAATCAAAATTAAAGTCAGCTTTAACTGTTATTTCTTTTCTTTTTTTTTTGTTTTGTTTTGTTTTTCGAGACAGGGTTTCTCTGTGTAGCCCTGGCTGTCCTGGAACTCACTCTGTAGACCAGGCTGGCCTCGAACTCAGAAATCCGCCTGCCTCTGCCTCCCAAGAGCTGGGATTAAAGGCGTGCGCCACCACCGCCCGGCTTTAACGGTTATTTCTAAACTAGTAACAACTTGGAAAAGGCAAGCCACTCTCCAGCCTTCCCTGTATCTGCTTAAGAGCTCGTTTTGTTTTGTTTTGTTTTACCAATATAAACTGACCCTAGAAAACATTCGGAGTTGTAGCTTTCAGCTCCTGAGCGTCTGAGCTACATCTCTGATCCATCAGTCTTGGGGTGTGCGCTAAATAGATTATGCTTGCCTGACTGAAATCTATGCTTCTGTGGTTTACGGAGCGACTCCTGGACCCTAACAGTTTCTTATATCACCAGAGCCTTCAAATATTTATCCCACCGAATGAGGATAAAGAACACCTTATTCTGTGCACAGCGAAGTCTGTGCATGGCTGCCTCCCCCTAAAACCAGATTTGATAAACAGCCCCAAACCAATTTCCCATATTTCTCTTATAGTACTAAACCAAAGGGAAGGGTATTTTCCAAGCAGGCGGGTTTACAGAGAGCACAAGGCAGTTATAGAACTCTTCCTGGAACATCTGGCACAAAACATTCTGAGGTTATGGGGTCGGGCGCAGCCTAACTCCAAGAAACAGAATCTTAAAACTTTTACCAAACTTAGGCAGAGTCTCAAAATGGCTCCCGGTATTAAATGGGTGTCCGGCTGCTTTCTCGACCCAAATTCCCCGACCCAGTGAACCGGACCCACCGTCCCACACGCCTCCGGGCGCTCCTCGGGCAGGGAGGCCGTCCTGATAACGGGCACGGCGAGCACGGTCCACCCGAACTCAACCCGGTACTCACCGTGCAGCTCACGCGCTGCAAGTTCCCGCCGCCGCCACCACCACCGATCGCCCCACCTGCCCTGGCCGCGTCCTTCCAGCCCAACCACAAAGGTGCCGCCAAAAAGCCAGTTTCTCCCTAATTCCCGCCCCATTATGCGAGTCCGAAACACAAAAGCCAATCGGAGGCCTTAGTTTTGTGACGAATGGCCCGACGAACCCGTAATACAGTCGCATGTGGAGCAAGGGGTGGTCGCCCGGCCGCAGGTCCTGGTAGGGTCCTGGCAGGGAGAGGAAAGCTAGCTGCCACCTGATTCTTAAAGGGACAAGCCATTGCCTTCCAGCTCTGGTGGCCTGAGTTGGATAAAAACACACAGCACTGCTGGGTCAGTATGCCTTTAATTCCAACACTCTAGAGGCAGAAGAAGAAGGATGGCAGCTCGCTCTCTATATATGGTGAATTTGTCCTGAAACTCTTTGTAGACTGGCCTTGAACTCAGATCTGTCTGCCTCGGAATACTATTATTACAAGTGTGTGCCACCATGCTGGGCCAACTTCACTTATAACTTTAAAAGACTTATTAGATTGATTAATAACCACAGTAGGTTGGATACTCCTACAATAGTCATCCCTATCCTGAAGGGCCAAAGAACTCAGTGAGTTGCTCTGGCCACATATCCAGAACCTTCAGGACAACAGGGAGCAGTGAGTCAGCCCCATTCAAAGGCTGAGGGCCTGGAGGTTCCTCCAGAGCCCTTGGAGAGAGTCTGCAGGAAAGGCCAGGGACCTGGTGACTGAGGTCCTCAAGGCAAGGAAGCGCCCACAGAGTCATTTGCTCAGGAGAAGTGGACTCCACGTGTGCTGGCAGCCTCCCTCCTTCCACCTCAGCCACACTTGGGGCCTACTGGACAGAGCCAGCCCCAGTCATGGTGGGTGGGTCTTCACCCAACTCAGTTGCTGACTCAAGCACCAAACACTGCAGAAACATCCTCACAGACACACCCACTGTGTTACTCTCCCTGTGGCATCTCTCAAGACAATCAAGCTGACAGCCAAGAATAAGCAGTACACGAAGTAATCCCCAACTTCCTTTCTGTGCCCAGTACTGCCTTGTCTCTAAAACCAGTTAAAACCAGTAAAAACAAAGGGCAGAGAGAAAGTATGTATGGTATTATCATGAATTTAAGCTCAGAAGCCCTCTGTAAAACACTAGCAAACAGAGTTCAGTGGCAGCTATCTATAATAAGGTTAGGTCAATTCAAGGTAGACAAGGCTTGTTTATGACCAAAACCCATCAACATTCTCTGACACATAAGGAACTTTCTTTCCTTTTTGTTTGTTTGTTTGTTTGTTTGTTTGTTTGTTTTTCGAGACGGGGGTTTCTCTGTGTAGTCCTGGCTGTCCTAGAACTCACTCTGTAGACCAGGCTGGCCTCAAGCTCAAAAATGCGGCTGCCTCTGCCTCCCAAGTGCTGGGATTAAAGGCGTGCGCCACCACAGCCTGGCTGTGATCAAAACGCTTAGCAAGTTAACTGAATGTTATTGGTTAGAGAGCAACCATGACAAGCTCACAGTATGTTTTATCTCAAGTTTGGAAGAGAGAATGAGTGGGAGAAATCAGCCTCCCTGTTCTGAACACTCAGCACTTACAATAAGTGTCTAGTTATTGGGTTTAAGGAGAAAAGGTTCAATGAAATTCTCTCGAAGGGATCAGAACACAACCATAGAGACATGCTCACCCCACATTAGACAAAGATAGGGAATCAATTCAATGGAAGAAGTGCAAAAATTCCACTCTCTTCTGTTAAACGCTGTGCATCCAGGTTTAGAACAAAGGATTCAGGTATTTTCATCTCCCTTACATTAGATTGCAATGCAAATGTTTCAATCCCCCAACCCAGTAAAACCTTGGTTTACACAAGGCCACCTACTACATTCCAGGAATTCCATGGCCTGAGGCAGTGACCTTCAAAAGACAAGAAGTGCCTCAGGCATACTCAGTAGGGGATCCCATACCAGTAACAGGGAGGCAAGAAGTCCGAGAGTGACAAACAGACACAAGAGGGTGCTAGATCTGAGTGTAATTAATATGTGCAAGCATCAGACTTTTAAACAGAAAAAAAGGAAGTTAATCATTGTACAATAGCCAAATATGGCCAGTTTACACATCAGACAGGAAATAACTTTTCATAAGACCCGTCAGGAGTCAGACAGTGGTTTTACAAACATGATATCAGTATTGTCTGAGGTCAGTGTATTCTTAGACTTTGGTGTCTAACAACCCCCACTGACCTTGAAAGGCACTATCCCAGTGATGTGCAACCCACTGCCTAACAAACCAACATCCAGCCTTTGAATAGTGTCTTTCTTATTATAGCCTTAAAGAAGGTACCAGGGTGATTATGCCCCAGTGACCCTCTCTAGCCAATTCAAAGTTTAATAAAGAACTTCTGGCTCCATTAACCTCTATCCATCTATTGCCTTGGCCAGCATACACTCCTGCACATGGTAATGAAACAGCTGTTGTTTTATATACCTATAATGAATATTCCTAATGAACTCATCTAAACTCTGTCCTTTCTAATTGTTTTCCTTTTAGCTGCTTCCTTAAAACCTTCTCCTTTTCTAAACTCTCCAACATTATTTCTTGTTACTATAATTCATTAAACACATAGCCTAATATAAAATTCTTTCTCCAAAAAATTCTGCATATAGCCCTAAATACTAGGGGCAATTTTCCTATATAATTAATCTAATTCTTTATTCCAAAGGTCAAACTAAAAACACCTTGCGCCGGACAGTGGTGGCCCACGCACTTGGGAGGCAGAGGCAGGCAGATTTCTGAATTCGAGGCCAGCCTGGTCAGAGTGAGTTCCAGGACAGACAGGGCTATACAGAGAAACCCTGTCTTGAAAAACCAAAACAAAAAAAAACAAACAAACAAAAAAAAACACCTTGCTATGAATGAACCCTTCAATCATACCCTGTTCTCCAAACTGAATATTTCCGAAAAAAGATTAGTAATACAAAAGACATGGCACAGAACCCTCCCCCGGTAATAGCAAGAACAAATCTGGAACACATCCTTTTCAGGGGCTGCCAGGGCTCTCCAGGAGACAGGCTTCCTTGAAGCACTACCCTCAGGAGTCAGCATCCAAGATTTTACTCTTGTCACACAAACTTCACTGGAGGTGCCGAAGCAAAGAAGCTTGGTGTGAGTGTCTACGTCTTAAGCCAAATACTCATCTGCTGGGGCCTGACTGCCACTGGAGATAGGCCAAGGGTGCACATGTGTTCTGTTTCTTCCCATGCCCCTTTCCTTCTCTACCAAGCCAACTCAGTCAACAGGGTCTCGACGGAGGGAGTGAGGATTAAAGAAAGAAAAGACCATTAGACAACATAATAACATGACCCCAGCTAGTGCTGAATCAGGTTTGTTTTTTCCCAGTCTGCTTTTATATCATTTTAGGTTCATGCAAAGAATAGGGTCAGTTCTTAGGTCAAAGACAATGTAGTCAAACAAGGCAATAAACAAAGTCCCATGGTTACTGTGTCTAGGAGTTTATCAGGATGACCAAGATACAAGGAAAACAATACATTCCTCAGCTGTATTCATCTTGAGCCTTGTCCTAGACTACTGTAAATACTCTTATCTGAGCCTCCTCCCTTGTCCTCCAAGCCAAAAGTAAATTTTCTTGCCAATATCCTTGAAGAAGCATCAAGGACTCTCCACTCGGTGAGTATCCACATCTTAAGTCAGCCACCTATCTGCTGGGGCTGGACCACCAAGGAAGATAAACCAAGGGTGCAGATGTGTTGTTTCTCCTCCTGCCCTTTTCCTTCTGTGTGACTCAGAAACATATTATCAAGAAGCCAGCCTCAGAGGCTGGAGAGATGGCTTAGTGGCTAAGAGCACTGATTGCTCTTCCAGAGGTCCTGAGTTCAATTCCCAGCAACCACATGGTGACTCACAACGATCTGTAATGGGATCTGATGCCTTCTTCTGGTGTGCCTGAAGACAGTGACAGCATACGCATACATAAAAAAAAAAAAACAATCTTTAAAAAAGGAGAAGGAGAGGGAGGAGAAGCATTTTTATGCTTACAGCTTGCTCATCCAGAAGAGCCTCCGTCACAGTATTAGCCTAAAAGACTGTGCTGTGTCCCTCACCTCCCAGTTTGCAGGTGAAATTATTAAAATAGGTCTGGTTAAGAAAGCTTAGTGTGGCCGGGTGGTGGTGGCGCAGGCCTTTAATCCCAGCACTTGGGAGGCAGAGGCAGGTGGATCTCTGAGTTCGAGGCCAGCCTGATCTACAGAGTGAGTTCCAGGACAGCCAGGGCTGCACAGAGAAACCCTGTCTCGAAAAACAAAACAAAACAAAAAAAAAGAAAGCTTAGTGTGTCTTGGATGTTCAACTTTTACCAGACCCCACATAACCCCTTTCCCTTCCTTCATTTCCAGCTCACCAATTCATTTCAAACTAAATAATAAAGGGAGGTCTGACCCCAGCAAATTGGGAAAAGACCCAGTCACCCCCTGAGTTAGACAAACCAAATGCACATACTGTCTGTGTGTTTGTTCTTCTGAGAGCACCCTTTGGATCAAGAGCCTTGTTTGGCTTGTCCAAACACTCAGTTTGAAAGGGGGTCTCTTACTTTGCAACCCTGAAATTATGTCTCACAGAAGGATTATTATTTAAAAACAAAAGAAAAAACATAGTTGAAGCAAGTGAAGCAGACACACACAGCAACACAGTAAACTTTAACCTAAGTCTCACATCTTACACAAAACTTATCCACAGAGCATTCCAAACTTAAATGCAATGCTGTAAACACCCAATAAAACAAGGCAAGGGGCTGGAGAGCTGTCTCCTTTGCTACAGTGCCTGCTGCAGAACCATGGAAACTTGAGTTCAAATCCTCAGCATCCCTGTAAAAGCTGTGAACCTGTGTTTGTGCAACTAAAATTGACTCCAGTGTTCAGAGGCTGACTGAATACACCATGTCACCCTCAGAAATGCAGAAGGGGAAGGAGCAGCTTCACTCTTCCAGAACTCCATAGAAGGCAGTATGAATTGTGAGGA